GCACACACACACACATACTCATTACTGCAATCTGATGTCTATGTATTCATATTGATCAGTATACATGTACATTTATGTATACATGGAAGAAATCACAACAAAATGCATGACTGTAAATATGTAAAAATACCACAGTGAAAATAGAAAATAAAACCTGAGTGCCCTCATGTGCTGACACACACATCATCAGAATGCAAGCCTATACATATGTATACATGTATATATACAGGTCAGTACACACATGCATTCTTGTATATATGCATGTATAAATTTATGTATGCATGCATGCATACATGCTGTTAGATACAAATTTTAAACGACAAATAGGTAATCACATGTACGTAGAGTATTCATATACAAATGTTGAAAAAAATACATGTATACTTTCATATATTAGGTTGTGTTATTCAGAATACTTTACCAAGAGATTTTAACTACAACAATTAAAAAAAATATTTGCATTTTACTTACTTTTGATACACTTTTGATGGGTTTAGAGTTTTGGTACTCCCGGCCCTGGAGCGGGCTGGTCTGGTACTTGCCTGGTTAACTAGGCAACTAAATATTTTTGAAACACTGGTCACTGCCCAGCAAGGCATGATAACCCAAAGAAGAAAAAGTGTAAGTGTAAGTGTAAGTGTAAGTGTAAGTGAGTGAGAGAGAGAGAGAGAGAGAGAGAGAGAGAGAGAGAGAGAGAGAGAGAGAGAGAGAGAGAGATGAGTGAGTGAGGAGAGTGAGAGAGAGTGAGAGAGAGAGTGAGAGAGAGAGTGAGGAGAGAGGAGAGTGAGAGAGAGAGAGAGAGAGTGAGAGAGAGAGTGAGAGAGTGAGTGAGAGAGAGTGAGAGAGAGAGTGAGAGAGAGGAGTGAGAAAAGTGAGTGAGAGAGTGAGAGAGTGAGTGAGAGAGTGAGTGAGAGAGTGAGAGTGAGTGAGAGAGTGAGAGAGTGAGTGAGAGAGTGAGTGAGAGAGTGAGTGAGAGAGTGAGTGAGGAGTGAAGAGTGAGTGAGTGAGTGAGTGAGATGAGTGAGTGAGTGAGTAGAGTGAGTGAGAGAGTGAGTGAAGTGTGTGTGTGTGTGTGTGTGTGTGTGTGTGTGTGTGTGTGTGTGTGTGTGTGTGTGTGTGTGTGTGTGTGTTGTGTGTGTGTGTGTGTGTAATGAGGTTCCTTGTCAAATGATCACAGTTGAAAACCTGAAAATAATTGTCAACTGGGTAAACTGTAAGCCAGAGTTACAGCAAAGAAGAAGAAAAGTGTTCACAAACACATATTCCATTGGTGTGTTTCCAGAACTAAATGATCATCAGTCACAATGATCCGCCAATCATCATACCCACCCCATCCATCCATCCTTCCTTCCTTCCTTCAGTGTGCACACACAGTAAATTCTTGAATAAAGCAAAAACTTTTTTTTTTTTTAGCTAATGAGACATCCTTATACATTTCAGAAAAAAAAAAACCCTCTCCCCACAGTATTATGAAGCATCTCAGACACAAACTCTCATACTAAGACCATACACTGTTTGAGTCTATCATCAGAAGCTCTCATATTAAAACCATACACTGTATGGAAGACTTCGAACCATAGTACAGGTGGGGACTGAACTCGCGGCAAGCGAGTTGAATAAATCTTATTGTAGCCAGCTGGCCCAGGGGCTTAGGTGTTGGCCTGGATTTTAAGACTCACTTGCCGTGAGTTCAATCTTCACCCGTACTCTGGTTTGTTTGCAATCGTGTCATTACAATTTTGCGAGTCATGGAGACTTCAATATTAAGACCAAACACTATAAATCTATAGCAACAAGCAGGAGAGGAATTACAATACTTGATGTCAGAAATGCTTCTTTTCTAATTCAGAGTATCACACATCCCCTCCCAATGCCAGTTCTAAAATGGTGGCAACCTCAGCTCAGAGAAATGCTCACATCCACCTGTAACCATTAAACAGTATTCTAATATGGAATACAATTCAGTTATGAAATACTGAAAAAAAAGCATTAATTCCATGAAAAATCAACACCATGAACTTCACCATAATATTTATTTTACAAAAACTGCAAGACCCTGCATGTTCAATACATCTATACCATGCTGCAAACTGAGTTTTGCTACCAACTAAAAATGACAAAACACAAACAACTCCGCACATAAGAGAAGGGATGATGTTTTGGTCAGACTTGGACCACTGTTCTGGTCATGGTATTGTGCCTTTTGTTCTTCAAAAATGACAGAAAACTGTGCCATAGTAATCAATCATGAAAACAATACAGCAAGTGGAAGCAGCTGTAAAAAAAAAAAACTATGAATAATTAAACACAAAGGTGCTCCTCAATTTACAAAGGGGTTACGTTCTGATGAAATCGTAAGTTGCAAATACTCCAAGCTGAATATGGATATGATACAATAAATAAATAGATAAATAAGTAGACAGCAACCGCCCAGGGAGGTACTACCGTCCTGCCAAGTGAGTGTAAAACGAAAGCCTGTAATTGTTTTACATGATGGTAGGATTGCTGGTAACTTTTTTCTGTCTCATAAACATGCAAGATTTCATGTACGTCTTGCTACTTCTACTTACACTTAGGTCACACTACACATGCATGTACAAACATATACATACACACCTCTGGGTTTTCTTCTATTTTCTTACTAGTTCTTGTTCTTGTTTATTTCCTCTTATCTCCATGGGAAAGTGGAACAGAATTCTTCCTCCGTAAGCCATGCGTATCATAAGAGGTGACTAAAATACTGAGAGCAAGGCGCTAGTAACCCCTTCTCCTGTATACATTACTAAAGTTAAAAAGAAGAACTTTTGTTTTTCTTTTTGGGCCACCCTGCCTTGGTGGGATACAGCCAGTTTGTTGAAAGAAGAATAACTACTGTCACTGAGTAAGTAAATAAATAGATAATTACTGTAACTAAATACCACTACTGAAACGTAAATCAATGAATACAAGTTGATCCTATCAATAAATGTACAGTACTGATGACTACTGAATGTGCCTTGCTGTCACACCATCGTAAAGTCAAAATATCGTAAGTCAGATCATCATAAAGCAAGAAGCATTTGTACTTATGAACACTTAACACACAAAATTGGCTATGCAACTTTATAAATCCCTTCTACACCCTAGTTGATGTTGCCTAGTTGATGTAATTGATGTAGACCTAGTTGATGTTGCCCTAGAAACACCTAGTTGATGTTGCCCTAGTATTAGACCTAGTTGATGTTGCCCTAGTAGACCTAGTTGATGTCCTAGTAGACCTAGTTGATGTTGCTCTAGTAGACCTAGTTGATGTCCTAGTAGACCTAGTTGATGTCCTAGTAGACCTAGTTGTTGTTGTCCTAGCAGACCTAGTTGATGTTGCCCTAGTAGTCCTAGTTGATGTCCTAGTAGACCTAGTTGATGTTGCTCTAGTAGAGGTGCCATTCTTCCTTTTTAAGAGCTGTATTTATGCATGGGGTCCACATCGACAGATTGCTCTGATAGCTTTATTATGCCCTTCAAAAGATCATATGGACAATAGACAACATGATTAAAGAGGCACATAATGGGCCCAAAGACTGGACACCAACATTCTCTTGACTCAGCAAAGTTGCTGTAGTAGTAATGAACATTTTTCCAAAAATGATGAATTCAGGTGCAAACGGCTCACACACAGTCACCAAATCGTTTTCTTCGATAATATTTAATCTCCTAAAAACACATCTCCGCAAAAACTATCACAAGCCAGGCACTATTATTATAAACTGAAGGATGTAAACACTGAGGCTCATCGGTGTGCTGAAACTTCACAACTTGGGCATAAAACCACATACACACGATATAAATGGTTTAGTAAACCAACAAGTTGAAGAAATAAACACTTTTGTAACATTGGGGAATCTTTATTGCTGCAATGTTTTGCCAACAAGTGACTTCGTCAGTCCAGTACAGAGATGAATGGTGGAAGATGAGGAGTTTCAGGTAATCAGTCCCTCAGCCTTGTGTCAATGTGAAAACATCAACACAAGACTGATGGACTGATTTTACCTCAAAGTCCTCATCTTCCACCATTCATCTCTGTACCACACTAAGGAAGCCACTTGTTGGCAAAACATTTCCACAATAAATATTCCCAAATGTTACAAAAGTATTTAATTCTTCAACCATACACGACTGACACTATCACTTACAATGTTCCTAACTATAATATACAAACTTTTTATTCACCATTCTTAAAAAAAAACTACCTATTTCCTGTAGGACTGTAGAAATCATTATCCATCAGATCCCAGCTTGATGCCAGGCTCCTAGTTGAATGTTTGGTCAACATGGGTGTTACTACTAGCAGCGGCAGGTTACATTACAAGCATAACATGGCTGAGCAAGTTTTGTTGATATGGCTATGATGTGTATTGAACCAACTGAATGTACAGCATGAAGAATACCAAATAAAGATCATAATAGGGAGAGATATTCATCTTATGTAAAAAGAAGAAAAACTTTTGTTTCTTGTTTTTCAGGTCACCTTGCCTTGGAGGGAGACAGTCAGCCAGTGTTAAAAAAAAACAGTTTAACTTATATTCACACTCATACACTATGAGTCATCTACATATAAATAAGCTTGGGAAAGGGTCAATGTTCCTTAAAGGAATAAAATACAAGCAAAGCAAAATTAACAGTGTCTTTGGTCTAAGCAATAATGAAACTTTAATAAAAACACATAAGCAGTTTCAACACCATTTAGACAATGCTCTGCTCAGTGACCAACCTTTATCAAGGTTGATCTCCGAGCAAAATACACTCTAAATATAGTGTCCGAACTTTTGTGTCATCGTTAAACAATTAGTTGGTATTTTATACCTCTCAAATACACTCTAAATATAGTGTCCGAACTTATTTTGTGTCATTGTTAAACAATTAGTTGGTATTTTATACCTCTCATGTCCAACAGTGAAATGACTGACTATGGTCAGAGAGCAAGGTGACTGTGAGCATAAGAACAAACACTTCCTGGTACTCACTGGACATGGGCCGCGTTCTCGTTGGAGCATTGACGTGCTTTAAGGTATGGTCCTTTCGAATGCTTTCCATCAGCAGTTCCATCGGTGACGAGATCTTCCGTGGCGGAGGGAGAAGTTTCCGTTCTGATGCCTGCAACAGAAGTGACAAGAACACATGTCACAAACAGCATAGTGACTCACAAAACCGTAATAATGTGATTCCAAATATATCACAGAGTGAATGGGGTTTGAGCCCATGGTGAGTTTTAGGACTCACTGGTTGTGGGTTCAAAATCTACCTGTTCCATGATTTACAAACAGCAGCAATACTCAGACATGTCATGTAATGTACAAGAGAGGAGAAATGAGTTGAGCAAAGAAAGAAATTACATCAATCCATTAAACAAACTTTTTCTCTATCAATCCATTCTCACAAAAGTGAAACTTGTGCATTTCCAATGTTGTAGCCATTTTTAACATAGTATGCTTATCTATGGTTAAATGCAACTGCCTCTACCCTAACTTGCTTTAAAAACAAAAAACTACATAGGATTTACAGGGAGTGGATTTACAGAAAGTGGTATTGGGAATCATATAGGAAAATTAACCTAGTAAAATGAGGACAGGCTTATATGATGATGGCTGCCCACCCATCTCCAACTCCATATAATTCACTCTTCCATATTCTCTTTCCAGCTTTACAGTCCGTATGGAATCTTACAACACCAGCAACAGGACAAGCTTCTGACCACTGCAACATATGGCAGCTGGTGATTGGAGTCTGGGCTTTCTAGGAATCTTGCAAAAGCTTGTTTACCAATTGCAAGTAGGGCCACACTGCTTCAAGAGTGAGCTCATTCACCTTTGGGTCAAACTCTGCACTTCGCTCAGTGAAACTGAGATGAAGGTGGATGTGATGGATAACAGTGCTGGAAGAGGATAGTGTTTTGTACCCTGTATTATGGGTGCTCCACCTCTGGAGCAGCCTGTGATACCTTGACACTGCATCTCCAATATCAGATTTGTGAGAAATGTTAGTGAGGTGAGACCAGGTGTTTGTCTGTCTGCAAGGATAGGAGTGTTGGCTGCTAATCTTTAACACTGTAGTTCTATGAGGGAACTCCAGACCAGCTGATGACAGTATCATGGAAGGTGACCTTTGATTAGAAGTAATGGTGTGTAGAGGCCTTTATAAACCCAGAGGAGATACCTAAGAGAGGACTTTGAGGGAAGGTATGGCCAGGTGCAGAGAAGGCTCTATGAGGACTTGGTGAGGATCCTTGGTTGGGCACAGATCTGGAGGTTGTGTGTGAGGTCTTTTAGGAGTGATCAAGTAAGAGCTCTATTGGATGCTCTAAGTTAATATTCTATATCATCAGCTAACTGTATTCCCCTGGTCCACTATTCTTGTATCTTCACCAAGTTATCCTAGTATCATATCCCTTCTTCTTTAACCAAGAATATTGTTATACAAGTGTGAATAAATTGCAGGTGAAATAACGTACTAACATTCCCCATCTTTATTACTCTGTATAAGACTGATATGTGAGTAAAAGGTTCAACAGTAGTATGTAGCAAGGAGAGGCGGTGTACTCATTGGTTCACCTATTACTTGTATGTTAAGGGTATATCACAAGCCATGAAGCAGAGAATAAAATACTGTCTTTTCTTAATTATTAACCATTACATACATCATCTGAGTTTCATCAAATATAGTTCAGAGTTTGACCTAAAGTTCGATGAGCCATTTTTTTTGAAACTACATGGTCCCACTTGCAACTGGTGTACGAACATCCACACTTCAACCATTTGGTATCATGTAATTCACTAATAAAAAGTTTGTTCTACAGGTGGCTTTTATGCTTCTGAACAAAGTTCTAAATGAAAGCCAATGTGTTAATTGTCAAGTAAGTTGGAGATATCAGCCACCACATTGCTGACCAGCAACACAATATATCTGGGGGGGTTCTTTTTCAACCTGAGTAATATCAGTCTAATTGAAGATGTGTGATACATGTTTCCTGCAATCTTGTAAAGAGCTGAATGCATTTGTTATGTATGTGCAGTATATACAATTTTATAAGCCCTGAAGATGAAGATGATAACTAGCCTCTTCATCCTGGTGCCATGGTGAAAGAACACATGCAACCAATTTTTCTTAAAAAATTTTTTTTAACACATCGGCCATTTCCCACCGAGGCAGGGTGACCCAAAAAGAATTTTCATCATCACTGAACACTTTCACCATCACTCATACCTAATCACTGTCTTTGAAGAGGCGCTCCGATACGACAGTTTAGACGTACCTCCAAACTGCCAATATCCCAAACCCTTCCTTTAAAGTGCAGGCAATGTACTTCCCATTTCCAGGACTCAAGTCCGACTAACCAGTTTCCCTGAATCCCTTCACTTTCACCAGCAAGTGATATTGCACTGACAAATGACAGAAATTAGTTTTACTCTAAAGTTACTTCAATGTTCAATTTCAAACTGCTGAAAGGGTTAACTTTTCATAGCCTTGAGAATTTCATGCAAAAATTTGTGTATCTTTCAAAGCAGACGAATCCATCACAAATTAATTCAAAACACTTAAGACTTTTAGGTGTCCCATAGCTCAATCGCTAGCACACTCAGCTCACACACTGAGGTCCAAGGATTGATTCCCTGGTATGGCTGGAAAACATTAGGATGTGTTTCCATAAGACACCTGCTGTCCCTGTTCATCCATCAGTAAAATGGGTACCTGGGTGTTAGTGGACTTGTGCAGGTCGCATCCTGGGACAAAACTGACCTAATTTGCCCAAAATGCTCTGCATAACAAAGGGCTTTCTATATAGCAGTATGTCACTGATGTCAGCTATTTATTTATTTATTTAATTATTTATTTATTTATATATTTATTTAGTAATTTTAGCATACATACAGAGGTACAAAAAAAAATACAGGTAAGAGCAGCATGCCAAAGCCACTTATATGCATAGCATTACGGGCTGGCTGTATACCTTGAACATGTACTTGTAGAAATAAAGATATTCTTCTTCTTTCATCAAATTAGCCATATCCCACCAAGGCTGGGTGGCAAAAAAAAAAAAAAAAAAATTAACTTTAGTAACGTATACGGGAGAAAGAGTTACTAACCCCTTGTTCCTGGTATTTTAGCTGCCTCGTATGACACGCATGGCTTACAGAGGAAGAATTCTGTTCTACTTCCCCATGGAGATAAGAGGAAATAAGAACAAGAACTAGTAAGAAAATAGAAGAAGACCCAGAGGGGTGTGTGTATATATGTGCTTGTACATGAATGTGTAGTGTGGAAGTAGAATAGCAACATGTACCTGAAATCTTGTATGTTTTTCTTCTTTCTTTCAACACACCGGCCGTATCCCACCAAGGCAGGGTGGCCCAAAAAGAAAAACGAAAGTTTCTCTTTTTAAATTTAGTAATTTATACAAGAGAAGGGGTTACTAGCCCCTTGCCTCCGGCATTTTAGTCGCCTCTTACAACACGCATGGCTTATGGAGGAAGAATTCTGTTCCACTTCCCCACGAAAATAAGAGAACTAGAACAAGAATTAGAAAGAAAATAGCAGAAAACCCAGAGGGGTGTGTATATACGTATATGCTTGTACATGTATATGTAGTGTGACCTAAGTGTAAGTAGAAGTAGCAAGACGTACCTGAAATCTTGCATGTCTATGAGACAGAAAAAAAGACACCAGCAATATTACCATCATGTAAAACAAAGATATTATTAATATTATTATTACTGTAATCCCATTTCATCTAAATGGAGGAGTGCAAAAGAATTCTTCCTCCATAAGCCATACGTGTCATGAGAGGCAATTAAAATGCCGGAAGCAAGGAGCTAGTAACACCTTCTCCTGTATAAATTACTAAATGTAAAAAGAAGAAAAATTTACGTTTCATCTCTTTCGGGTCATCCTGCCTCGTTGGGAGATGCCAGGCCTTTATAAAACTTAACACTTCTCTTTTACTTTCATCTTTGAATTCTTTATGCATGTACATAGAGTACAACTGAGTAATAATTTCAGTGGCAAAATTTCTAAATAGACTTGAGATTGTGATTCTTTATGACTGTTAGTCTTTATGGCCCAGTGGCTTAAGACTTGAGATTGTGATTCTTTATGACTGTTAGTCTTTATGGCCCAGTGGCTTACATGCTGGCCTGGAGTTTTATGACTCACTTGCCGTTAGTTCAATCCCCACCCGTGCCATGGTTTGCAATTCTTTATTTCCAATCATTGCATATACAAAATATACAGTAATAATAAAAAAATCTACAACATTTTGGGCAGAACTAATTTTAGGAACTACATACGTAGTTTATATTTTGATTTATTAACGGACTACACAAGGTATTGTTAGGAAGATGAAAAAGAAAAAGATACAGCATACAAGATAATTCATAAAATAAAAAAATCAGTTATAATTGTCTGTCTGTAAAAGGACGAGAGTACTTTATGAATCTATAATGCAATACGAGATAATACAAAATAATGCAACACAAGATAACGCAAGATAATGCAATACAAGATAGTGCAATGCAGTATATTTCAGCAGACATGGATACAAGAAGATAAGTACAATGAGTATTCCACGAAAAGTTCTTGGCACAGCACTAATGTCTGAATGAAGGAAACTGAAACATGGTACAATTCATGGGAGTAGGAAAAAAATAGTGGTAACAAGAAGTACAGAAGGATAAATAATGGATAAAACTCAATAAGGTGTCAAGATGTGTCTGAACACACAACATTACTGTCTTGAATAACATCAAGGTAAGGAGGTGTTTCCTAACAGTGGTTTAAGAGTGGTTGGCAGACAGGAGACCTTTTCGAATCCTCTGGTAGAGAGTTCCAAATTTTGAGGCCTTTTACGAGTATTCAATATAAAGTCAGAGTCAGTTTATTTCCACATGATTGTGAAGTGGAACAGAATTCTTCCTCCATAAGCCATGCATGTTGTAAGAGGCGACTAATATGCCGGGAGCAAGGGGCTAGTAACCCCTTCTCCTGTATACGTTACTAAAGTTAAAAAGAGAAACTTTTGTTTTTCTTTTTGGGCCACCCTGCCTCGGTGGGTTATGGCCGGTCTGTTGAAAAAAAAAAACTATTGTTTATACAGAAATAGGTGATGACTAAATACATACAGAAAGACCATGGTTATGCAGAGCATATACTTAGGTTGAGTTGTACACAAGGAATATCAAGAAGGTATTTGTACTTTATATTACAGGACGGCCCAGCTTCACAGTGCTTCGCTTTGCAGCATTTTGCTAATGCAGCAATTTTCACTTATACCCATTCTTCACTTATTTATACTTCCTACAATAAATATATTTACCACTCACTATAAGCTAAGGATAAAAATATTTTAATGTAAATAATGTGTGAGCAAGGGCTAGCAACCCCTTCTGTACACATTACTAAAGTTACAAAGAAAAACTTTTGTTTTTCTTTTTGGGCCACCCTGCTTCGGTGGGATACTGCTGGTGCGTTGAAAGAAGAAGAAATGCTGTGTATTGTATATACATTTTTTAGGCCTAGCTCTATTGCTCACTTAATACAGTGGACCCCCGCATAACGATCACCTCCGAATGCGACCAATTATGTAAGTGTATTTATGTAAGTGCGTTTGTACGTGTATGTTTGGGGGAATGGAATGGACTAATCTACTTCACAATATTCCTTATGGGAACAAATTCGGTCAGTACTGGCACCTGAACATACTTCTGGAGTGAAAAAATATCATTAACCGGGGGTCCACTGTATATGATAGTGTAAACGTGTTATCAAACTTTTATATGCATTTCAAAGTGAACAAAGGTTATGTTTCACTTTATAGTGATTTTTGCTTTACAGCAGCAGCCCAGAAGATAACCTGCTGTATGAGTGGAGCTCACCTGTATTTCTGTGAGATCTGCTGCAGCTTTCCAGGAAGAGTATCAGCGCTGGGTATATATTAGTAATGACTGTCCTGTATATACAGTACAAGTTAATGTTTTGTATACTGAGTAGGTTTAAACTTTTGGAAAGTGGGAGCGTGTGTTGTCTAGCATTTGCTGGAGTGATCATTCTTATGGCAGGTATTTGTTGAGCTATTATTGGCTTTACCACAGGTGAGGTAAGGAAAGAAGAGAGAGAGAGAGTAGTACAGAGTAAGCAATGCTGTTTGAGCCACATCGTAATGTATCTTAGAGAGCACACCCACTGTTTTGGCAACTGTCTTGGTTATGCGCTGGATAAGAGTGTTGAATTTTAAATTGCAGTCAAGGTAAGAGATCTAAGAATTTCCCCTCTTTTTGTCTTACAATAAATGAATCATTCATCATTATACTAAGTTATACATTTATAGACATCATGTAAAAAGTCTTGTCTATATTAAAAGCAAGTCATCCAAACATATCTTTATGAGAACATCATTAACGGTGGTATTGAGAGAAATTGGCTTTGCATACGAGATGACAAAGCTGCCATCTGCAAACAGAACAGGTTAAAGTGCCTGAGATGCATTGGGAAGACTACTGATGTTGATTAGGAAAAGCAGAGGCCAAGGACACTGCCCTGAAGTACCACTATGTTAATAGATTGAGTTGAGGAGGTTGTATCATTGATATTGATACGTTGGTGTCTGCTAATTAAGGCAGGGCTAAGTATGCAAGAGTATGGCCACTGATATCATAATCTTCTAATTTAGGAAGCAGGGTGTTGTGGTCTGCTGCAACAAAAGCTTTCCTAAGGCCTGTGAAGAGGCTCATAGGATATTCATTATTTTCAAGAGATGAATAAATCATTTTTTTTTTTTTTTTGCTTCATGTTAATTTTTTCCTGGCCTGAAACCAAACTGCCAGGGGTTAAGTAGAGGGATGGGACAATACCAAAATTTTTACCAATACTTGATTTTAGGCAAATACCATCAAAATCAGTCAACATCCTATGATACTGATACTCCATTTTAGACCGATACAATACCCACCAATAACAATACATCAGCACGTGCCTAAGTAGTTGTATTGTGAAACACCAGGAAAGTTGTAGAGAAACTTAAGAAAGCAGAGTAAAGAAAGTTCTCTAAACTGTTTTAACCTATTAGAAAGACTGAGCATAAAATGGCTGATTTATGCTTAACAAATACTGTAGTGTAAAGCACCCTTCTGGCAAGACAGTGATGGAGTGAATGATGGTGAAAGTTTTTCTTTTTCGGGCCACCCTGCCTTGGTGGGAATCGGCCAGTGTGATAATAATAATAAAAAAAAAGTACTATGAGGAGGACATATAAACCCACAAAATGTTTTATAACACATTAGATTTATGTACATATCACATTTAAGATGTGTGAGCAAGTTTTTGGATGGCATATAAATAAGTACAGAAAAACAGGTTTCATATAATATCTGGCACCAACAGATCACACTAAAGAATAAAAAGCACAATACATAAATAACTCTCACATAGGAGAAAGAAACTTCAGACGACGTGTCAGTCCAACTAGTTAACGGTGCAAGTCAGACCGAAATGCCGTCATAAGTCTCTTTCTCATATGTGCGGGTTATTTGTGAACAAATCACACACTCGGTGCAGATTGAGAAACCAGGATGCAGTTCTTTATTTCCCACATTCAAGACACAAATTTTCCAAGCTACAAAACTCCTCTGGCTTGAAAAACTGAATTGCAATCAAAACACTAAGTTCACATCAATAATTATTATATGGATTATTGTTTAATAAAAATAAATGGATTTTTAAAAATAAGATTAATTTGTAGGGTAAGCAATCCTTGTTTAGTTTCACAATAATAAAAGAGGACATGCTAACAGACAGGATATTACGCAACTGTATCAGCAAACGACAAATAGTATCATGGGTTTGAGTGTGGGACTCACCTTCCTGAGAGGAGGGCGCGACCTAATGAAGTCGAGTATGATAGTGTGAGCATCTTTCTTGAGACGTGGTGGTATATCCCCGTTTACCATGACTTTGTTGAGAGTGTATCTGTGGGAGGAACTGCTAGATTAAACAAGTTTGGATCCAAAACTGTATAAACAGCACACAAATAATGTACAAGTTATGACTTACAAAATTGCAATAACACAACTGGAGACAAATCACGGAACAGGTGGGTATGCGAGTCTCAGTACTCACTTGTCATGGGTACAAGCCCCACCCATTCCATGATCTAATCTACAAGTTTATAGGCTGATTCTATGGAACCAAGTACTGTACTGACCAAGCAGAGCTTCCATGTATACAAGTTTAAATTAGCTCCTATGACAGTGTGTCTCATCCTTAGTGAAGCCTTCAAATGCACAAAGCACAGTTATAGTACATACTCAGTTTTGGGGGGAAAAAAAATTAAAATAACACTATCTCAATATGTTCCACATTTTCCAAAGGTACAATACTGCTTAAATTATTTTAATGTTGAGATTTACCCAGCAACACTAACTAGCAAAGTAGGGAATGAGAGCAAGATATAAGAATTAGACCTTTATAATAATAATAATAATAATAATAATAATAATAATAATAATAATAATAATAATAATAATAATAATAATAATAATAATAATAATAATAATAATAATAATAATAATAATAATAATAATAATAATAATAATAATAATATCCATATTTCTACAGTGGAACCTCAAAAATCGAACTGCTCCCAACACAACCAATTATTTAAGTGTATTTTTGTAAGTGCTTTTATAAGTGTATTTTTGAGGGTCTGAAATGGACTAATCTAATTTACATTTTTCCTGATGGGAGTAAATTCATTCGGTAAAGGTACTTGAACAGCCTTCTGGACCGAAGGAAGTTCGATATTTGAGGTTCCACTGTACATGTACAAGGTATACAGGCATAGCCGACATCAATGACATACTACTATATAGAAAGTCGCTTGTTATGCAGAACATTTCAGGCAAATTAAGTCAATTTTATCCCAGGATGCGAACTACGCCAGTCAACTAACACCCAGGTACCCATTTTTTATTGATGAGTGAACATAGACAATCAGTGTAAGTAAGGGAACATGCCCAATGTTTCAACCCTCGCCAGGAATTAAACCCAGACCCTCATCGTGTGAAGCAAGAGCTTTTGCCACCAGGCCACGGGCCACCAATGTAGACAGTATTCACAAAGCAAGTATAATAGTGGAGAAGATTGCAAAAATTAGAGAAATAAAGCAATGTAGACACAGAGTACCCTTAGGTAAGGTACACCTAAGATTTTAATCTGGGGAAGAAGGGGTAAGGGTTTAAGCTAGATTTCAATCTGGGGAATTTAAGCCAGGATTTCAATTTGGGAGGATTAAGCCAGGGTCAAGATGTTACATACACAATAAAAGGCTTTGTAAAAGAACAACGGAGAATGAGACTAGGGCAGCTGTGTCCACTGATGATGTAGGAGCCTCAAAGTGTATACTAAGCAGTGGAAAATACATACTCGAAAAAAATAAAAATTACACAATTAAGCACTGCCAGGGTATTTTATCCACAGTGGCATATTACCAGTCATTCTGGAAAAAATACCCTCATTTTGCCTAGTCAAACCTCGGTTTTTGTATGCCCTAGTTCTCGTACGATTTGGTTTTTGACAACTTTTTTCGTCAAAATTCTGTCCCAGTTTTCGTACATCCACTCAGTTTTCATACAGTTGAAAATGCTCCGTACCAAACTCGTCTGCCTACCCAGGTGACTCAGCCACTCATTTCCCAGAATCGAGTGTCCACACAGAGCATCCCATGCATTTGTGACTCAGTCTGCCTTTCTTTCTCACTGAGTGAGCATCACCCTGCGATGTGAGTGGCCAAGATGTGGAAGAGTTGGTGGACGACCACAGGTAAGAGCTAACCACTGAAGAGCTGCAAGACCTTCAACTGGAACAGCAACAGACCGCAGATGAGGAAATTACTTCAGAGGAGGAGGAAGAGAGAGGGGGGAATGTGCCTTCTTTAGTGATTAAGGACATATGTGCAAAGTAGAATGAGTTGCCAAATTTTGTGGAGAAATATCACCCTAACAAAGCTGTTGCAAGCCATGTTTTGCAACATGTTCAAAGATAATGCCTTGTCCCATTTTAGGCAAATCTTAAAGAGAGGCCAGAAACAGACCTCTCCGGACAGATTTTTTGTGTGACTCTCAACAGAGCCTAGTGCCAGTAAAAGAGAAAGAAGGGAAGTAACCCCAGACAGGGCCTTGATACCTGAATTCCTTATGGACGGGGATTTTTCTTCCAAACAATAACTTCTCCTCCTCCCTCTCCCCTCCTTGCCATCTTCCATACGCCAACAAGAGTCTTCAATAAAGGTAAAAGTGATGTTAAATGTTCATTTATCCATTTCATTAGTCATTTATAGTATTTATTTCTCATTGTTTTCTGTATGTAAAACTATAGTTATTTTCTATCAAATGTATTTTTTGTTAATATTTTTGGGTGTCTGGAATGGATTAATTGGATTTATATTATTTCTTATGGGAAATATTACTTCAATTTTTGTATAATTCAATTTTTGTCAGACTTTTTCGAAAGAATTAATCACGAAAACTGAGGTTTCACTGCAATGTAAAGCCTCATAGCCATTTAAACTGGACTAAACTCAACCATTCACTGCTAAAATACGTGTAAGATAAATATTTCAAAGCCACACAAACCACGGTGTAATGCTTTAGTGATTGAACTCGTGTCTATGATGCATGAATAACTCACAACCATTGTAACCACATCACAATTCACAAATAACAGGCACATAGGAGAAAGGAACTGACAACAATGTTTCGGTCAGACTTGGACCATTAACTAGTCACACACCAACACAAAGGTGAGTCGGACCGAAACATTATCGTAAGTTTCTTTCTCCGATGTGGGAGTTATAACATTGTGCCTCTTTGTTCTTTACGAACCACATCAGAAATTTTTATATAGTTGAGCACCAATGTAGCACACTTGGCTACCACTGCAGTGGTACCCAGTCCCTGAACCCATTATGTGCCTCTGTCTTTCCACTACTGTACACAGGATGGGTATGGGGGCACATAAGAAAGCAATTAAACCTCAAAAACTACAATGAGTCATACTCATATAATGCAAAACAAATTATTATACATTATTAAATAATACAGAGGCAGGGAGGAATTTTTTTTACAATAAATATAGAAGATTATTTGTATTACTAACCCTAGGGGATTAGTAACCCAGATTAACTTCAAGAAAACCTAACAATGTGAATTATTTGCATCGAGACCCTTCTATTGGTTCCCCCCCCAGGATGCAGCACAAATCAACTCCTACTCCATCTATCTATTCAATTATTATCTATCTACTCTGAGGTAACTTGGGCAGCTGATGTGAATAAACAGTTATCTACACATCCAGGAAAAATCTTTTTTTAATCACATAAAATTTAAGATAAGATTTTGTTCTGATTTTTAACCCCGGAGGGTCAGCCACCGAGGTTAACCCAAGACAGACAGTATCATCGAGGACTGTCTGTCTTATTTCCATTGTGATTCTTCAATCTTGTCCCCCAGGATGCCACCCACACCAGTCGCCTAACATTCAGGTACCTCCTTAATACTAGGTCACAAAACTTAATTACTAACACCATCCATAAATAATTTTTAAAGAGGACAGATTAAGAAAAGACTGTAACAGCAGCATTATATATAACAGCAGAACAAAGAGGATATAAATAAAAGATAATGAGTCTGATAAGCTTTTCACAACTTTTGTTTTGGACATCAAAGGTGGACCAGGAGTGCTATTTTAAGACTGTCTCTATTGTTTTAGCCTCTCTCTCAGTCATTCAGTCGGTGTGAAATATATACTCACGTTGTATATATATTTTTATCCTTAAATTGTTGAACTAAGAAATAATAATAGATGGAGATAAACGATGTAAATCCCAACACCATGGAAAAACAGACAAATGCAGTATAGTGCAATCTTTTATGGACTTACATTTCGCCCACACAGTGGACTTTATCAAGTCACAAACACATCTACCTGAGCAGAGGTCAGGTTAGGTTGGTCAGGAAACGGGTCAAACGTTTCCTGATGTGGGTCTCAGTCATATGACCCATAGCTGGAGCTTTCGGTTACCTGACAAAGGCCTCCTAGCTTACCCCTCCACCCCTATAAAAATTATGGTTATAAGTACAGTGGACCCCCGGTTAACGATATTTTTTCACTCCAGAAGTATGTTCAGGTGCCAGTACTGACCGAATTTGTTCCCATAAGAAATATTGTGAAGTAGATTAGTCCATTTCAGACCCCCAAACATACACGTACAAACGCACTTACATAAATACACTTACATAATTGGTCGCATTCGGAGGTAATCGTTATGCGGGGGTCCACTGTATAACCATTGGATTGTGCAGAGTACATGAGTACATATAGGGTGCATAGTGACCAGAACCTACTGAAAGTTTACTCCACAATAGCCACAATTTTATATGCGACTTTTTCTGCAGGTCAATATGCTCTCTATATATACCCAAGTACTCTTTTCAGGTATATCTGTTTGTGATTCGATAAAGACCACTGTGTGGGCAAAACGTAGTCAGTAAAGAATTGCATTATACTGTATTTGTGTCTATCTTTCCAAATAATATTAGACTCTTCCATTTTCACTGAAAAAAAAATACACTGAATTCTTTTATTTTATCAAGTGGTTGACATAAGCCACATAATATAGCACTCCAGCTACAGAGTTTCAGTACACATCAAAAACAGCAGCTGCAGTGTTTCAATACATCAAAAACAGCAGCTGCAGTGTTTCAATACATCAAAAACAGCAGCTGCAGTGTTTCAATACATCAAAAACAGCAGCTGCAGTGTTTCAATACATCAAAAACAGCAGCTGCAGTGTTTCAGCAGAGAAAGGTAAAACAACAGTGTGTCAGTCAGATTGCTTCAGTCATTACATCATGAAAGTGGGGCTGGGGGGGAGGGGGGGTTAAGGGGACTCACCTTCGTGATCTAATATCATCCATCAACATCTCATAAGGTGTCAGAGCGTACTCGATGGGTCCTCTAGAGTATTCGAACTTCTTCAATTTGACGCCGTTCCTCAACTCTCTCATCACCTGCATCCATAGACGTGCCTGCAACACCACACATGGTTTTTTAAGTCAATAGCATTGTCTTTTTCACTCAAAACTCCATCAGTCACAAGTTACAAGGGGGAAAAATTACACAAGTGACCGATGCTGAGTTATTCAACCCTCTCAGTACTGTATGAGGCTTGTATTATTATTATTATTATTATATTTTGAGGTATCCTCTAAACTCATGGGGTTTATACAGTGTCTGGGGAATGGAGAGGAGTAACGTTTGATCCAGGGAAGGAGAGGACAAGTCTAATTCCTTGCATCAAGAATCTAATTCATATACATTAGTGTACAGATTATGACCTGGCCATTGGTTATTTTCAAGGTCCAGTGCATAAATAACCAACATGCAGGAGAGACGAGCTTATCATGACGTTTCACTCCGACTGGGACCATTTACAAGTCACACCGAAACGTAGTTATAAGCATGTCATAAATACTGTACCAATATAGAGTGAGAATTAGAGTTAGTCTGACCGAAATGCCTAGCCATGCTAGAGGCCTTCCTTGTAATTAATATTTTACAATATGTAAACCAGATATTGTAAGCTTTACGTGGAAATTTATTATATACGGATTGTTGATAAATTAAACACATGTGCAATTCTTGGGTATCTTTATTGAGGAAACGTTTCGCCACACAGTGGCTTCATCAGTCCATACAAAGGAGAATCTTGAAGAACAGGAGGAGAATGAGGTAATCAGTCCCTTAACCTTGAGTCGATGTATTCAGTCCATCAATCTTGAGTAGAATACGGCAGATGAGCGGAGAAGGAGCTTATAAACCGTATGGCAGGAGAGGTGCAGCAGTCATAGGTAGTGTCACATTTGTTCAATGTGGAAGTAGGTTGTGCCTAAGAATTAGGCAAGCGAAGAATTCCTAAGTATTAAGATCCCAAGAAGTTGCAGTGTCTGACAGATTTGTAGACTGCTGCACCTCTCCTACCTACGGTTTATAAGCTGCTTCTCCGCACATATGCCGTATTCTACTCAAGATTGATGGACTGAACACATCGACTCAAGGTTGAGGGACTGATTACCTCATTCTCCTCCTGTTCTTCAAGTTTCTCCTATGTATGGACTGATGAAGCCACTGTGTGGCGAAACGTTTCCTCAATAAAGATACCCAAGAGTTGCTCATGTGTCTAATTTATCAACATGTCGGTTCTCTGAACCATTCATCTACAAACCTGTCAGACACTGCAACTTCTTGGGATCTTAATACTTTGGAATTCTTCGCTTGCCTAATTCTTGGGCACGACCTACTTCAACATTGAACAAATGTTACATGACCTATGACTTCTGCACCTCTCCTGCCAACGGTTTATAAGCTGCTTCTCAGCACGTATGCCGTATTCTATTCAAGATTGATGGACTGACCACATCGACTCAAGGTTGAGGGACTGATTACCTCATTCTCCTCCTGTTCTTCAAGATTCTCCTTTGTATGGACTGATGAAGCCACTGTGTGGCGAAACGTTTCCTCAATAAAGATACCCAAGAGTTGCACATGTGTCTAATTTATCAACATGTCGGTTCTCTGAACCATTCATCTACAATACGGATTGTGTATTGTTTCAGTCACGGTATTGTATTTTACTGTAACATTTATTACTCAAGTTATAATGAACAACAGTTGGATATGTTTTAATATACGAGATAATTATTATATGATCACCTCCGCAACCCGGGCTAAGTCAATGCCATTCCAACTCTACCAGAAATATTACAACACCAGCAACTACACTCTTAAGAAATACACTGAATGTAAACAGAACTCTCTCCTGTGATTTACTTCTCATCTTATACGTTCATGATGGAGGACCAGCGATCCTGCCAGAGTGCAAAACTTTTAACACTTCTAGTTTACGCTTGTGTGACGATGCTGTGACCTAACTGGATGGTCGCGTACGTTAAGTATTTTTATTTTGTATCTTCATATCTACCAGTACATGTACAAGGTATACAGACCATAGATGACATCAATGATATACTACTATATGGAAAGTTGCTTGTTATGCTGAGCATTTCCCGTAAATTAGGTCAAATTTGTACCAGGATGCGACCCACACCAGTTCATTAACACCCAGGTACCCATTTTACTGATAAGTGAACAGGGACAACAGGTGTAAAGAAACACGCCCAATGTTTCCACCCTCGCCGGGAATCGAACCACTAACCCCCTTCAGCGTGCGAAGCGAGAGCTTTGCCTACCAGGCCACGGGCCACCAGTGTCGTAACATAAACATCAGTGTTGGAACACCTACTATGAGATCTTTGTTTATTCTCAGATCACCGTATACAAGTCTTCATTTATTCCTGGGTCAGACATTCTCGTTGCTTATCACAGATGTGTTGCACCAGCCCTGCATGCTGATACTCCCCAGTAATGTGGCTACATCATCTGATATGCTGATCTTCACCACACGATTCTGTTGTATATTGTTATACACACACACGTACCCAGAACACAGGTATGTACACATACACACGCATATACACAACCCCCACACACATATACACACACACGCACAAAAGATAAAAGGTGCAAAACAACCACAGGGGGAGTTGAATGATAGCTCTAGGCCTTTCGTTTAGCAATCAACACTTCATCAGAAGCTTGCAATGTTGCAGCGGAGTTCAGGTCTGAAGCTATCATCCAATTTGTTATTTTGCATTTGTTATAGCTCGTCCGCGATTTGTGTGTGTAGTGTGTGTGTGTATAGTGTGTGTGTATAGTGTGTGTGTAGTGTGTGTGTGTAGTGTGTGTGTATAGTGTGTGTGTATAGTGTGTGTGTGTAGTGTGTGTGTGTATAGTGTGTGTGTAGTGTGTGTGTGTATAGTGTGTGTGTAGTGTGTGTGTGTAGTGTGTGTGTAGTGTGTGTGTGTGTGTGTAGTGTGTGTGTGTAGTGGTGTGGTGTGTGTGTGTGTAGTGTGTGTGTGTGTGTGTGTAGTGTGTGTGTTGTTGTGTGTGTGTGTGTGTAGTGTGTGTGTGTATAGTGTGTGTGTATAGTGTGTGTGTGTAGTGTGTAGTGTGTGTATAGTGTGTGTGGTGTGTGTGTAGTGTGTGTGTAGTGTGTGTATAGTGTGTGTGTAGTGTGTTGTGTGTTGTGTGTGTGTGTGTTAGTGTGGTGTAGGTGTGTGTGTGTAGTGTGTGTGTAGTGTGTGTGTGTGTTGTGTGTGTGTGTGTAGTGTGTGTAGTGTGTTAGTGGTGTGTTAGTGTGTGTGTGTGTGTTGATGTGTGTGTGTGTGTGTGTGTATTGTGTGTGTGTGTAGTGTGTGTGTGTAGTGTGTGTTGTGTGTAGTGTGTGTGTAGTGTGTGTGTGTGTGTGTGTAGTGTGTGTGTGTGTGTGTGGTGTGTGTGTAGTGTGTGTGTGTGTTGTGTGTGTGTAGTTGTGTTGTGTGGTGTGTGTAGTGTGTGGTGTGTGTGTGTGTGTGTTGTGTAGTTGTGTGTGTAGTGTGTGTGTGTAGTGTGTGTGTGTTGTGTAGTGTGTGTGTGTATGTGTGTGTGTGTGTAGTGGTGTGATGTGTGTGTGTAGTGTGTGTGTGTGTGTGTGTAGTGTAGTGTGTGTGTAGTGTGTGTGTGTAGTGTGTGTGTAGTGTGTGTGTGTGTAGTGTGTGTGTGTGTGAGTGTGTGTGTGTAGTGTGTGTGTAGTGTGTGTGTAGTTGTGTGTGTTGTGTGTAGTGTGTGTTGTTAGTGTGTGTGTGTGTGTAGTGTGTGTGGGTGTGTGTGTGTGTAGTGTGTTGTGTTTGTGTGTGGTGTGTGTGGTGTGTGTGTGTGTGTGTGTGTGTGTGTGTGTGTGTGTGTAGTGTGTGTTGTGTGTGTGTTGTGTGTTGTGTGTGTGTGTGTGTGTGTGTGTGTGTGTGTGTGTGTGTGTTGTGTGTGTGTGTGTGTAGTGGTGTGTGTGTGTGTGTAGTGTGTGTGTGTGGGGTGTGTGTGTGTGTGTGTGTGTGGTGTGTGTGTGTGTGTGTGTGTAGTGTGTGTGTGTGTGTGTGTGTGGGTGTGTGTGTGTGTGTGTGTAGTGGTGTGTGTGTGTGTGTGTGTTGTGTAGTGTGGTGTAGTGTGTGTGTGTGGTGTGTGTGTAGTGTGTGTGTGTGTGTGTGTGTGTAGTGTGTGTGTGTAGTGTGTGTGTGTGTGTGTGTGTGTGTGTGTGTGGTGTGTGTGTGTAGTGTGTGTGTGTGTGTGTGTGTAGTGTGGTGTGTGTAGTGTGTGTGTGTGTGTGTGTGTGTGTGTGTGTTGTAGTGTGTGTGTGAGTGGTGTTGTGTGTAGTGTGTGTGTGTGTAGTGTGTGTGTGTGTGTGGTGTGTGTTGTGTTGTGTGTGTAGTGGTGTGTGTGTGTGTGTAGTGTTGTGTGTGTGTGTGTTAGTGTGTGTGTGTGTGTAGTGTGTGTGTGTGTGTAGTGTGTGTGTGTGTGGTTGTTGTTGTGTGTGTGTGTAGTGTGTGTGTGTGTGTGTGTGTGTGTTAGTGTTGTGTGTGTGTAGTGTGTGTGTGTTTGTAGTTGTTGTGTGTGTGTGTAGTGTGTGTGTGTGTAGTGTGTGTTAGTGTGTGTAGTGTGTGTGTGTACTCACCTATTTGTACTCACCTATTTGTGGTTGCAGGGGTCGAGTCACAGCTCCTGGCCCCGCCTCTTCGCTGATTGCTACTAGGTCCTCTCTCTCCCTGCCCCATGAGCTCTATCATACCTCGCCTTAAAACTATGTATGGTTCCTGCCTCTACCACATCACCTTCTAGGCTATTCCATGGCCTCACTACTCTATGACTGAAGAAATACTTCCTAACATCCCTTTGATTCATCTGAGTCTTCAACTTCCAATTGTGACCTCTTGTGTCTGTGTCCCATCTCTGGAACATCCCGTCTTTGTCCACCTTGTCTATTCCGTGCAGTATTTTATATGTCGTTATCATGTCTCCCCTGACCCTCCTGGCCTCCAGTGTCGTCAGTGTGTGTGTGTGTGTGTGTGTGTGTGTGTGTGTGTGTGTGTGTGTGTGTGTG